CACACACACACACACACACACACACACACACACACACACACACACACACTGCACCCAGTGGACAGGTTTCAACTAATTAAACTCTGCAATGATCCATTCAATTTTAATTTCATGAACGTGCAGCACTGTAACGTTCTCTGTACATAATTCCCTATTTTATATTTCTATTCTTATTACCTTTAGTGTGTGTGTATTTCACATTTCCCTCTTTGCTGCAGTACATTTACGGTGAAGCAGCACATTTAAGGATCTTATTTTAAACACACACACACACTCCCTCTGCTTAATTATGTGGTTGTGCGAAAAAGAGTTTTGGTTTCATTTGTCGTAAATGTCAAAACACCACGCTCAGGGGAAGCGGAGATTTTTAGATTTGTTAAAGACGGACAGGTTAGACTCTGCACAGGGAGGTGTGCAAACATGTTTTTGTGACTGTGGTGAACTGACTGTTCCAAAGAAACTCACAATTACATCATACAAGAGCTCCTTAGAAGTAGAACTACATTTGGAGCAAAACCTAAACTGAGCACCAATAAAAAAAGACTTTTATTTTTGGGGGTTTTCAGTCACTGTCTGTAGAAAGCTCTGGATGATTCTGCACCTCATTACTCACAACGGGAAACTTGGACTCTTTCTTCAGATAAACATTTGCTTTTTTTCTAATATTTACCAGCTTACAAAACTTTAACAATACCTGAACTGTATTTTATTTGGAATAAACTCGTTGCCATGCCCAGATATATAAACAGAAAGAAAACAGTTGTGTCTGAGTGTCACCTGGATTTTCCAGCACGGCCAGATGTGACATTTTAAGAACTCTGCACATGATTCAGTGAATAAAACCATTGTGACGTTGTTGAAATTTTATATCTTAAACACTCAGGCTGATTAATACCAAGATATCGTGAGTGGGTTAATCTCATCTGGTGTGTGTGTGTGCATGCTGTTTTCCTAGTGGGGACGACAGGGGCGGTGCAAGGCCAGCTACACGTCACCGGGCCCCATTCGGCTCGTTCACCAGGGCTGCTACAGCACTCGCGCCCACAGCCTCCGGTACTGCGGACAGTGCACGGACTCTCGCTGCTGCACGCCGTACCAAACCACCACCGCCGTGGTGACCTTCAGCTGCCCCAGCGGCAGACTGCGGCAGCGGGCTGTGATGATGATCCACTCGTGTGTCTGTCACCACAGCTGCCCCTACGCACCGTTCAGGAACCCGGCCCTGTGGGGATACAGGCCCTGATCGGCCCGTAGCAGCACAGAGGACCGAGACACTTCGCTGATTAGAGGAGAAACTGTATTCATCATCCACAGGATCCGCAGGAGGCGTCCTCTCATCAGTGGACATTGAAAGACAAATCTTTGCAGGGACAACCTCAGTCTGCACTTGGTCACTGCTTCATTATTCTCAAGCAAGTGACCAAACTTTATTTGCGGAAACAAAGCACTTTTCAAAACAAAGTCAAAAAGTGGAAAAACAAAACAGACGCGGTTGAAACAGGTTGAAAGAGTTCATTCTGATTTATTATTAATGTGATTTATTTTCTCCTCTCTCGCTCACTTTCCATGACCTCATGTCACCAATTAATCCGCCACAACTTCCAAACCAGCGCAGACAGGGCCCGCTCTCATCAGAACTAATTAGATTTCGATAATTGCAGTTGGTAACATTTGGCGGTTTGGCTCTGCTCCACGCTCAGCCGCAGCTCAAAGACCACAACACAGATCAGAGCAGCATCAAAGACCACACGTGACGTCGATGAGGCCAGAGTCCGTATGAAAAGGAGGAGCTGGGGTGGAGGTGGGTGGTGGTGGGTGTGATGTGGCGCTGCAGTGGAGGCTGGAGGAGTCGGCAGCTAAAGCAGCTTGGATACGAGCCTCACCAGCTGATGCAGAGGAGTGGATCAGCTGTCTGCGGCTGGGCTCGACTCCATCACCTCCCACATCTGACGTCGGTTGATCTGTTTGACTGATGGTTTTATAAATCAGCTGTAAAAAGTAGATAACCCACAAAGTAAAAGTGGGTTTTTGAGATTGTTTTGAAAGACGTGCACTGATAAAGCTGCTCAGAGACACTGCGACCTTTTTAATGAGAAAGGTTCCAGATCATGAACCCAAGATTAAAAGTAACATTTCAAAAAATCCTAAAAAGAAGCAGGGAGCGAAAAGTGAAAGTTTCAAACTGGTTTAATGTGTAAGTTTAGGTTTGATGTGATTAAAAACACATTTGACTTTTAGAAGTTGGACTCTGATTCTTCTGATGATTCACGACTGGAAACATCAGAACTGAACCAGTGAATTAAATTCTCATATATTTGGGCCGATTGAGTCTCAATAATTATATCTTGTTTTTTGACAGTTGGTCTTGACGCTATTTTGGTCATGAAGACATTTTTTAAAGACGTATTTACATTGTGTGTGATAGAAATCCTGCAGAATGACTCCAACCTTTGTGTTGACAGATCAATGCAACTTTGAACTTGTCTAGTTTAGTGTGTGTGCGTGTGTGTGTGGGTGCGTGTGGGTGTGTTTGCTGTCATGTGACATTGCACTTTTCTTATTTTACTGTTTTGCTGTAAATATTTCTGTACTTCGTTTCTTCATGTATAGTTAATAATGTCAATATTCTCCCGATGAATTTTATTATCACTAATTTGTCTTTCATTTCATTACAGTAGTCACACATTAAAAGTTTGAAATGCCTTTTCCAAACATTTTACGTCCTTCTTCCTCCTGTAATGAGCTGTTCAAAATGTGTTCACCTTAAAAACCTTAAACTTGTAGTAGAACTTTTCATCTGTGACATCCTGACATCTGCTGGTACAAAGAAGTGCAAAGAAATCTGTAATAAAATTAGTTGAAAGTAAAATTACTCTCAGTATTCAGTGCAGGGTCCCTCTGCCTCAGGAGCTTAAGAGAGAAACACAGTCCAGCAGTCCACCTGTCTGTTAACTGCCTGTAAACCAGGTCTAACCAGCAGTGCACCAGGCTTCATCAGTGTGTCACTCCCTGATCATTACACCACCCACATCTCATTGGCGTGGTTTCCTGGATTCAAGCAAGTGCAGACACATACAGTAAATGAAAGCACGGAGACCAGATGTGTGAAACCAGAAGTCTCTGGAGTGAACGTGTAGCGTAGATCAGCACGAGGAGAAGGCACTGCAGCTCAGAAGATGGCGAACACGACCTCTTGTCCTCGTGTGAGCTTTGATTTTACCGGCAGGTTCCTGCCTCCTGTTTTAATCTTGGTCTTCATCGTCGGCCTGGTTGCCAACGGATGGGGTTTGAAGTCTTTGCAGCACAACTGGAAGAAACTGGGCAACGTCAACATTTTTGTGCTCAACCTCGGTCTTGCAGATGTTTTGTACCTGCTCACGCTTCCATTTTTGGTGGTTTACTACTTCCTGGAGAGTAAATGGATCTTTGGAGATACATTCTGCAAGATAACGAGGTTCTGCTTCAACCTAAATTTATACGGCACCATCGGTTTCCTGACGTGCATCAGCGTGTACAGGTACCTGGCTATTGTTCACCCGATGAAAGTATTGGGAAGGATAACTCTCACTCATTCTGTGTCGATCTCAGTCTTTGTGTGGCTGCTGGTGGCTGTTGAGAGTATTCCAGACATGTTCTACATCAAGACGTATGTAAACCGCACTGGGAAATGCTTCGAGACCACACATGACACGTTTGTGGAGGGTTACCTGAAGTACAGCCTGGGGTGGGCACTGATTGGGTTTTGTATCCCACTCCTCATCATGCTGGGCTGCTACGGACATGTGATTTTCATTCTGTGCACCAGAAAGACCACTGACAAGGTTCTGAAGCAAAGGAGCCTGACGTTGTTGTTGATTTTGGTCCTTCTCTTCTCTGTTTGTTACACCCCCTACCATCTATTCAAGAACCTAAATATGTGGTCAAGAGTTCTGAACAAACACAAGGAATGCCGCAGATGGTTCAACAGCATTTACATCGCTCATCAGATAAGCCGAGGCCTGGTGTGTCTGAACAGCGCCCTCAACCCTCTGGTGTACCTCCATGGAGGAAAAGACCCTTGCTCAGGTCTGAAAACTGCTCGTCGAAACTTGGAGCGCCTGTTCACCACGAATTCATCCTTGTAAATAAAAAATGAACAATTGCATCATCTGTGTTGTACTGTGTATTCATGTACATAGATATTCACTTTTTAAAACCACGTGTCGTACTGCTTTTAACAATAAAATAAAAATAAATCAGGTCTGAAGGTTTCGTTTAATTCTAAAGGAATGTGCTGCGGTTACACTTGTGGTGAGGGGACTACGCCAAACCTGCTCTAGTTTCAAACACAAGAAGTTGACTGAATGTGTTTTAACAGGATGTTTATTATAGATGAGTTTCACTCAAGCCGCATTTCTGCCTGAACATCAAACCATATTTGTGCCCTGTGTTCGGGGCAGGATGCTGTAGCTGTTAATGACAAACTGACAAACTGCACAAAAGTCAAATCAACGCCCAACAAACCGTGTCGGTGAAGAAAATATTTCAACTTGTTGAGACTGTAAAGGAACAACTGCAGAGTCAGGTGTCAATATTTCCACCGAAGTCATTTATAACACACGTCAAACATTTGCATTTCTATAGTTGAGTGATTTAAAAAAAAAAAACCCTGATGATTTCTCAAAAGATCCATAAGGTTAAAACAGAAACTCTCATTTCTTGAAACTTTCTCTGTGGTGGTTTTTGTGTGTGTGTCATTTTACAAATTTGACACATGTACGTGGGCGGTGTGTCATGTCAAGGTAGTGAAGCAAAAAATCCCGCAGCTGAGCTGATGAATCTCTGTGAAAAACAAAACGCCAGACATTTTCAGAATAAAAGCACCGTGGTGTTTCTGTCGACCGAATTGATTCATTTGTTTTGAAAAGTTTTTAATTGAAGACTACTTGCAGGACTGAAAGACGCAAGGCTTGAGTTCCGCTTTTATCTGAGGAGATACAGTTGTCTTATCAGAAACCTCTCTTGATCTGTGCAGAGATTTGAACCTGACGATGAAAATACAAAGACGTGTTTACTTGGCCGATACAAAATGATCATTATTTCATTATTTCTGATGAGGCCTGACCTTCTCTCCTATGAGACTCGACAGCTGGACACTTGAATTCAGTTATTTTGCTGTAGACTTGCATCAATATTGACCCTCCGGCCTGTAACACGCTACGTCGTGCTCATCGTGTGTTAAAAACATGTAAACAACATGCGATCTGTTGATGTCTTTAGAGCTTTTAAACAACACCCGACAGATCTTAACAACATTTTACACAATGACGAAGAGCAAAAAAAAAAAAAGGATCAGGTGTGACAGGCAGATAAATAATTCAAACATCTGTACATTCATCATAAAGACGTCTGCATTAGCGGAAAAGTGAAGTCGGGAGCTTGTGGGAGATTGACAGGTAGTGTGTAAACGAAACAAATGAAACACTTGACAAACGTTTGACTTTCTCTCAATGTTTGAAAAAGTGAAAGACCAAAATTAAATGAGGTGTTTCCTGACTCGTACAACTCATTGCATCGTGTTTTGTGTAATGCTGCTAAATAACAGACATGAAAACAGAAGCTCCTGCGTAAAGGGGACGGAGAGTTGGACCTTTCGATATCAAACAACATGTTTGAATCACATCTTCAGAGTTGTGTCAGCAGACTCCTGAGCCGCACTTTGCTTTTTTTTTTAGAGCCGAATAGAAATTTAGACTGAAACTCATCTCTGCTCATTATTAGGCTTTGATTAGACGTATTATTATTATTATATTTCCGTGAAACGCTTTTTCAACACTTTTCAAGTTCTCAGAATGTTGTGATCACAGAGGCCTGTGACCTGAAGCTGAACCTCTGCCACCAGAGGGCGACTCTTACCTTCCAATGTAAAAGTGATGAGGCGTCTTCATCACCCAAATGTCTGCGCGCTGACATAACTAATATCAAGCTCCTGTAGGTTGTGTGATTAAAACCGTCGCGACACGAGGAGCCTGAAACAAACTAAAGCGATAACCTCATTCTCGTTCCCCTCACTGTTGGTTTGTTGTGAGCAGAATTATAACATAGAACAGAAGTGATTTCCTCAGAACTCACAAGAAGGGTGAGACATGGACAAAGAGACAAAAATCCTTCAATCTTTAAGATTGGAGATGGGATGTTTTTAATTTTCAGTATTATCCATGTGTCATTCTGACCCAGTTTCTATAGAACAGAGGAAGGATTCCGTCGTTTGCATCACTGGAGGAAAATATAATCAGATGAATCCTTTGTCAACACCGGGAGATATAAGACACTCAGAAGAGGCACGTTCCTATTCACAGGACCTCACTTCTCACACAGCAGCTGATCTGCAGGGGGAAGAATCCGTCCAAACCTCTGCTCCGAAGACAGAATAAATAAAATCTATTGTTCTGTTGAGCTGTGGTCGGTCTGGCAGCTAAAGCACAGAGCTTGAAGATGAATGAGATTCTGATTGAGCAAAGACAAGCAAACCGTTCTGAAAGTTAAAGCAACTTTATTTCGAGGAAGAAAAACCTGAATATGCCTGCACAGAGAGCTGCGTGCACTCATACCTACAGTTAGTGTGGCTGGTCACAAATGAACCAGAGAGGTTACAGTGGTTAAAGGTCACGGTGACGTCACAACGCACTCATATGCGCCAACTGTTCTATTCCCTCTTGGACTTGGCTGAGGACGTCTTGGTCCGTATGAAACGTCTGATGAGACATCTACAGGAAACCCAAACTAGCGCCGCGATTATGAGAACGAACGCAACCATCACTGCCATCACATCTAGACAATGGTACGAATACCAAGGCATCTTATATGACTCTGTGCGCAGATGTGCTGCTCCCCGGTGCCTCATGACGAACTCCATCCAGAAAACGGCGCTGTCTAAGGGTTTCATTGGTTTGTCGCGGTGAAGCTGTGACAGTTTGACCATGTTCTGTTTGTAGGGCTTCTCCGGGTCTACGATATTCCTCAGAGCGCTTGTCAGAGACTCCACATCCAAAGCGGTCACTTCAACAATCTCCGCCACTCCCCGTGCCTTCAGACGCACCATGTTGTCGAACTGGTCAAAGATGAGAGGGATGCCCAGGATGGGGACGCCTTGGTAGATGGCCTCGTAAATACCGTTCGTGCCGCCATGCGTGACGAAAACCTTGGTCTTAGCGTGACCCAGCAGATCGTTTTGAGGCAGCCACTCGACCAGCATGGTGTTGTTTCCAAGTGTGACCGGTCTTTTCCCGGTGTGCCTCCACACTACCTTCTGCGGGATGTTGGCGAACGCTGAGGCGATAGTCTCTGATATCTCGGGGCCGAGGTCGTTCAGCAGGGTCCCCAGAGTCATGACGACCACCCCGTGTTCACCAGAGCTCTGCACAAATTCTTCTAAATCTGACGGAAGAGGCCTGGGGGGCTTTCCCTGGAAGCCTCCGATGTAGATGACGTTGGGCATCGTGGGCCGGGGGAACTCGAATGTGAAGTCGACTCGCATCAGCCACAGATCCGCTCCCTGGATGAGAGACATGACGTTGACGTCTTCTCCGAAATATTTATCACACACAGCCTGGTAGGGCGGATTTGAGACGTAGTGGTACATGTACACCAGTATGCTATGATAGATTATATTTTCGATTCTTTGAAAAAGGTCCATTTTGTCTGAGCTGTGAGTAAACAACTGAGGGACGTAGGACAAAGGAGAAGGAGCGATGGCGAAGTGCGCCTCGCCATTGAAGAGCCAGCGCACGTTGAGAACCAGGGGAAGCTGGAGGTGATGTGCCAGCAGCACTCCTGCAGGAAACGCAGGGTCCGTCAGACAAAGGTCATATCCAGTTTCCCTCAGCTTCTGCATCAGCTTCTTATCCTCAAAGATGCTGGCGACCAGATTCGCCACAGTATGCTGGTTGTCCCCCACCATTTCAAAAAGGTTCCTATAAAACTCCACGAACGCCCACAGAGAGCCTCGATGTCGACGGATCTCTAGAGACTTATTCAGGAAAGAGGTCATGAAGGTCTGGCTCTCCAGGTTTTGGGGCTGCTCCTGGTGGACGGTGATGGAACTGTAGTGGGGTGAGTCTTCGGAGACGTACCAGCTGGTGGTGGAGCGCAGCACCGTGATTTGATGGCCCTGAGAATGCAGCGCCTCCACCAGGATTTTCATGTTCAGCCAGTGGCTCCCATCCACGGGGTAGACCAGCACTTTCCCACCATCGCAGCTGGACGCCAGAGTCGCTGAAAACAGCAAGATGAACGCCAGAGCTGGATGTGACTCCATCACTGCAGAAGAAAAGACAGAAGCGGATGAATCAACATCTGCAGCTCACACATGCAACAGACAGAACTACAGCTCCTGTTACAGGATTTATTCCATGTATGTTATTAAACTTTTCTCAGAAATCTTTCTACTGTACGATCTTCTGACACTCGACACGCAGACAGTGTCTCACCATGAGGAAGAGCGAGGGGAAATATCTGTGTCACCTCTCACGGATTCTTTGAAAATAAGATTTAATATGAAATATGTGTCAGAAAAATCTTTTATATTGATATTAAACATATGATTTGTGACCAAATTTACCATCGGTAGCGAAACACAGTTGAAGGATCTGACAGTTTAGAGGCTGGAACAATTCACACTTATGCAACATTAATAAAGACAATGTGCGCGCTTATGAAAAACATTTGTTTTGAAAATAATAAAGTAGTACTTACTATACACAGATGTGTGTGTGTGTGTGAGAGAGAAAGAGAAAGAAGTTACTTGCATGCAAAGAAAGAGTCTGATTCTTCAGCACAGCAGAACTAACATTAGCTTTTCCAATAACTTCACTACCAAAATATCACAGCAACTCAAATCAAACTTAGAAACATGACAAGAAAAAGAATGTAGCAGTCCTTTGCTTAGCCGAGTGTAGTTATTAAGCCCAGTTGTGTCACCAGGGATCAGGGACAATGTCTCGAGCAAGAGAGGTTCCTTCTCCTCCGGGAGAGCTCAGTAGAAAAGAGATTCCCGGCTCTCCTCCAGGAGAAGTGAGTAGAAAGAAGAGAGGGCGAACTGAGCTTTTATTGGCCTGGTGACCTCTTGGGTCATGGGGCACACAGTGAGGTTTATCACCCAGGTGTGAAGATGAAGCACCCTGGGAGACCGAGCTCTGGAATGTCTGCTTTGTCTTCAGAACAAAGAAGACACGTGGTCAAGGCTTTGACTTCACATTGTTCTCAAATAGTAGGTCCCAACACACATTGATAAAATAATCAATTTCACTATACTTGTGTGGAAATCAGATCAGATGTCCAAAACAAGTTTCCTCAAACTTTGTCTCTGACCTTTCAACGTTTGCCTCCGGCCTCGGGCTTGTTCACATGCCTGATGAAGACCATGTGTTGCGTGTTTAGGGTCGTCAGTGCCTCGTGGCATTCTCCGGTGGATCCTGGCTCCCACCTCTTCCCCAAACCTTTCAGACAACAAGTTTATGATTTGTCTGCTTCTGTTCGCTCTTTGAACAGAGTCCCAAAGTCACAGTTAAGTAATCTCCAGTCAAAGTCCTTGTGGATAATTAAATGTGCAGATATTCATCTTGTCCGAGTCAAATTAAAGTTGACAAACAGGAGCCAGAATCATCTGGAGGGAGATTTTCTGCCTAATAAATCATCACATCATCCGATGGAGTTTAGAGCAGCGGCCGTTCACAGGATGTTATGTACCGTTTGAGTAGTTTGAGGACAAATTCAAATCCAAGAAAAACAAAACAACAGGAGGTGAAAGCTTGTGGTTTGAACTTGGGCCGAAGGTGTGAGGTGTTGTTTGGCAGCAGCAGCAGTTTGTTGAAGATGCAGAGTGTGAAGCAACAGGCTGCTCTGCCCCCGTTTATATAAAGAAACTGTGACGTGAGGAAATGCCTCTGAATCATCTGCACATTAGAAAACACATTTTGCATAAACAGTTTAAAACTCTGCACAGTCTGTGAGTAAAGTCTGCTCTTACCTCCGGGGCCGCTGCAACCTCACGCTCTGTCTCGTCAGCTGAACCGAGGAGAAGCCAGTGTTTGACCTTATCATGCGACAGCCCTGTTCAGAAGAGAAGTGAATGTATAACCCCGCATTTCCCTGAATCTGCCCATTCTGCTGCCTGTTGTTCAGAAACACAGTGAAGCCATGCAGAGGCCCCGTCCTGAACAACTCTCCGCCCAGATTTTTTTTTTCCTGTTCCCGTTGTTTTGTGTTGCTTCTGCCAAACACATCTGGAGACGATTTCATTCACTTGTGGGATTTTCGAAGAAATATGAAAAAAAAAAAAAAATCGAGCCCTAAGAGATCTAAAAACAAACATTTTGATAAATGTAGGATATATATATATATATATATATTTTAATGACTGTTTAAAAGGTCTGTGGGTGTAAAGGAATCTAAATTCTGGACCCCCCCCCCTCATAGCCTGGGGCTCCCAGGGATATTACTGATTAAGTAAACTGTGAGAGGAGGAGCAGCTTTCTACTTTCTACAATGCATTTCTTGTCTGAAATGTGAAATACTGATCACAATACTTTTTTTTTTTTTAAGATAAGACTTTATTGTCATCGTCACTGTAAAAGTTACAACGAAATTAAAAGGTGCTTGACTCATTTAAAGTAAAAAAACAAACAAAACAAAGTATGAAAATAAGTATTAACATAGTAAAAGTAAATAGTAAAAGTAAGAATGTACAGAATTGACACTGGTATTTACAAGAATTACACACGTCTTTACAGAAATTTCAGATATGGCACTGGTGGTGGTTACCTGCAGGACACAAAGGCTTATCAAATATGTTTTCATCCATCCTTCAATCTGTCTGATACTTCAACAATGATAGACACAGACCATCATTCACACCGACGGACGATTCAGAGAGTAAACTACATGTTTGGGAGGAAGTCGGAGAACGTGGAGAAAAACCCGCACTGACATTGGGAGAACATGCAAACTCATCGCAGAAAGACCCAGCCCCACTGCACCACCATGCCGTCTCAGTTTATTTGCAGTCCTGATCAATCAGGTCAGAGTGGTACTGTCGCACTCTGCTGGGGTTTATCACTCACACTCTAACCCACAGTACATGTGTCGACACGGTTAATGTTTGAATGTGTTCACTCATTCTGTGTGACTCTCGTGTCTACAGTCATTTCAACCTTGCAGACGTTACGTTGCTGGAACACAATAGGCCGTGGTTCTTTTTATATAGTTCTGTTGTTATGCAACAGTTCTGCTGCTTCGGTCTTTTTTTAAACATCGTGGGTTTGTCAGAGTTGCAGCAGAGGAGAGGTTGAATGAGCAGATTCCTCTTTTCCGTCTGCACCGCTGCCAAACTGCCAAACTCACAGACTGAAGTGGATTTTACAAACCACAGCTGCAGGCAGGGAAAGTGTCATGTCTCACTCACTGAGCTCCAGATACATGTTTGTGAGTTGCTTCACTTGTAAATAATACTTTAATTCTAATTCTGTTCAGTAGATTTCTCAGCATCATTCACAATCTGGAGACCTACTTACTGTGCACACTTACTATCATTTAAACTTTTGGACCTAACACATAATCTTGGGTGTCTAATTATTTATCTTGTGTTATCGAATCGTATTTTATCTTATCTTCCAAAGTTACATCATGTTGGATGGAATGTAAGTTCACTGTACTGTGTTCTGGAGTTTGGTCTGGATGACAAAGTGAATCTTGAAATGTCAGAAAACGAAGTGTACACACAGCCGCAGAGTTCAAAATATATAAATATGGTGCATTGGGAGTGTGATGCACACTATTCTCTCGCCATGGAAACAGAGGAGTTTACATCAGGAATACAAACAGTACTTGTCATGTTTTCTCCAATATCAAACCCTCTCTATTTGTGGAGGAGTGTAATGCCGACATGCAGGATGACTGATTTCTGAGTGCTGGTGCAAATGTTTCCAAGCCTCTCCATTCAACCCCGAGCAACAACAGAGTCCTTAGCGACCTTTAGCACTTGTTATGCTGCGCCCTCTGAGTGCCGCTGCTCACTCACCATATGTGTGCGTCGTGAACTCTGGCCCTGGCAAACAGTAAAGGACAAGCCCAGTGTGCTGCTATCATATGTCGAGAAAGGACACGGCTTTGCAGGGGCGGGTGGGGGGTGGGTTGAGAATCCTTTGGCCTTAAGGGTCTAGTTTCTCTCAAAAGAGCAACAGGCCACATCATCCTCGGTGGTTGGTTGTGTGTCTGGTTGTGAACCGTTCTCTGCTGCCGGCTTAGCACAAAATGGAGCTTCCCCAGCTGGAACACGTGAGGCTCCGCAGGTGTGACAGCGCAGGTGAGGTTTCCGCAAAGAGCGCGAGAGAACACAACCTGCAGGGAGGCTTCTGCTAACGCACGACACAAACTGGGGCGTTGGTTTATTTGACTCTGACAGAGAGAGAGAGAAACAAAAGGAAAAAGAGAATCAGGAATTTAAGAGAGCAGCTTTCTTTGCTTGTTATTTCATGGATTTAATTGTTGCTTCTCGGTTTCCTGCTCAGTAACAAAAGCTTTACAGGACAATCTGACTAGCATGAGTCCTGCTGCTCGCCTCAAGCAAACACGTGCACAGATGCGTGCTGTGTAGCGTCGGGTGGAGTGAGCTCATGCCTTCTTTCATCAAGTGTTAGGGGCTCGGAAGAACGCATGATGCTAATGTGTCCTCACTAAGATAGATGTACTAATGTGTGTGTGCGCTCCTGTGCTTATGTCTTTGTGAGGACCGTGTTAATAATATAAAGACCCGTCAGAGTTTTAAATACAAACATGTGTGTGTGAGACCCCCTGCTCCATGGCAGTTGTGTGGGAGGACACGCTGAACTCCTGCCAAAGCAAATGTCGGACAGAATAACACATACCTTCTCCTAATAGCTAAGCTTCTTCCAAAACAGGAAAAACAGGCCATTACTTGTTATCAGGTAATTACTGCCTGAGGGAAAGTCTTTCCTAGACATGAGCAGATGATTTTGCCTGATCTGATCACTTGATGCAGAGTTCCTCTGCAGCTTTGTGTTTTGAGTTATTTTGGGGTCAACGGGCAAAAAATAAACCTAGAGCTGATTTTTATTATCTGTTGTTGACACGTGATATTTAAGGAGCTTCTTGTCGACTCAGAGGTTCAGTATCTTGCTTAAAGACACATCACCATGGGGGAGACAGGGATCGAGCTGTCGATCTTCTGGTTAGTGGACAACACACTGAACCACAGCTTCACAACAGAACAATAATAATGAACTTTATTTTTATGACACCTTTCATACAGGAAGTGAAGCACAAAGGGCTTTACAGCAAACATTGAAAAATACATCATCACACTTCACATGTCCACAGGGATTAAAACCCCAGACAGACTTTTGTTCCGTTGTTTCCACCGACAATACGAGCCGTGTTTTCAGGATCACGTTTGTTTGAGTCAGTACCGGTGTTTGATTCAAACGTAAGGTTTTAACTGCCCTCTGGTGGTTGAGAGAGAATCTTCCTCAGTCTGATAAACAAACTGTGCTCATCTGAATTCACAGCAGCTTCCCTCAGCTCCTCACTGGTCTCACAGGACTCTGCTGCTCGCACTCTAATCCAGCAGTGTCACACAGCACACGCACAGTTTGCTGGATTTGGAGGATTCCCTGCTGCGTGACATCACCTCAGAGATTTTGGCAGCTGCTCTCCTTTGAGAGGCAGACATGCAGCGAGGCCACGGGTCCTCCTCCTCCTCCTCCTCCTCCTCCCTACCAACTACTTCTCCTTTGCTGCAGTCAGCTGACCTGCAGTATGTAGCGTGCAGTGAAGCACACACATCGCAGAGCTTTAGTCGTGCACTCCTCCACCGGGCGCTCTGCAGGCCTCATGGCTCTCACCATTAACGCGTCCACCGAGCAGCAGAAGCTCACCCAGACTCCTCTGCTCAAGATCTGGGTTCCTTGGATGGGCTGCAACTTGAACCGCAGGAGGGGATGTAAGTGCAGAGACGTGCAGATTAAAAGCATCGATTCTGCTTTGTTCT